GACGACGACGACGACGACGACGACGACGACGACGACGACGACGACGATAATGATGATATATGTAGAAGCGGAATATATACGTACGAATGCGATGCTTTTCGAGTATTCGTCGAGTTTCTTCAACTTTGCTTTCGCCTCGTCGATGACTGCAAGAGAGCGGGCGATTTTGCGCGCGTAGCGGGCGACGCAGGCGCGCTCGCACGCCCGTTCGTCGCGTCGGTTCGAATCGACTCGCTGAATTTTCGTAACGTGCAAAATTTTCGAAAATTCCGCGCGCGCGCAATCCGTTCGCGAGATCTGTCAAGTTGTATGCGAGAATGCGCGATGGTACACTTCTCTCGATCGAGTAACTGCGTTCGATGCGCGAGGCGCGAGGCGCGAGGTGGATAACGATTCGTCTAGCGTCGAAATTGAGCTTGAAATCCGAGCGATCTCGCAAACGAAATCGCAAACCGGAAGCCACGGGAACGCCTCGTTAGCGTTCGTGGCACACAAGGTCAACGTGAGTGAACTTTGGATTTGCGTCGCGTCCAAAGTAGCTAGTAGCGAGTAGACATTAGCGACTAGAACGGCTTTCCACGAGTGACTATAGAGAATGAGAAAGATCGGTGATTAATGTTTCCCGAAGCGGTTTTTTCTTGCTCGACGTGCCGCTCAAGTCTCGTGTGCGAAGCATATACCGAATTGCACTCGTGTTACTCGTGTACTGTCGACGATTTTACGTCCACGCCGCCGAAACGGAACGCGAACGGAGCGCGGTGCGGTGCGCGGTGAGGTAGGCGCGACATACGCTTTCGTCGTGTCGCGTTACCTCGACTTGCTCGCCCCCGTTCAACCTCGGTCTCGTGGATAAGGTGCCATCACTCACCCCTTCCTACTCTTCCCCCGTGGCCGATTTCGACAAACTTTCGCAACATATGTTACAATGGAATTTTTTTTTTCGCAATACTAGGAGAACGGTTTTGTTCAAGTTCAGTACAATGGGACGTGTATTCGACCGAAACTTCAAAAGATAACGGTATAATAGCGAGCGAGTTCAACGAGTTATCGATAATCGCGCGACAATTAGGAATCAACGATCGAGGAAATTTATGTCGAACGTTGAAATTTCCTCGAGTTTACTTGTATTTGCGACTTTGTGTAAGGATCGCGAATGCGCAAATAATGTCTTCCGTTTGTTGAAACAACGATAATGACACCATTTGAAAATTTTATAGATGCGATGAAACGATAAAGCCTTAATTGCTTAATATGACTCGATATTTTTAATGCTCGGTCGCCAAGGCCGGGCTCAGCGTTTATTCTATTCCGTAGCTAGTTGTGCTCTGGGTATGGACGTAAATTGTAAATAAAAGATTTATCGGGTAGTCCTGGCCAAATACCTTGGAAAAGGAATTTGCGAAGAGGAGTCAAAGAGAAGAACACGCCAAGTGACTTTTATATGACTGCGAATAAGAAACTGGCGTACATTCTCTCTCGCACGGATGTAACGCGCGACGTGTTACGTAAATATACACATAACAATGTAATTGTGATGGACGAGTCGTTGGTTTTCGCATCTTCCATTCTTTCCATTAACAATAAGATGTACGATATATATACGACGCAAATACATATACATATGTATAATGTATACGGTGCGCGGCGTGTATATGCATATATGTGTATTATAGTGATGTAGCGTGTATATATAATCACTGTGTGTGTGTGTGTGTGTGTGTAAATTAGGCAAATCTGAAAAAAGCACCGTTTTGCTCATTTTGTATGTGTGTATATTTTGTCACATTTTGTCACAATAATCTGTAACAATGTACCTTGGCAGAAAAACGACAGATTTGATGCAAAATCCATTAATTAAATTGGCTTACAAAACAACAGCAGAAATTTAACACAACTTCCTAATACTCATAAAATGAGAACAATAACGTGATGCCAAAAATCCCGCAAAATCTGCTAGCATAATGTAACAACAAACAGAGTTAAAACCGATAAAAACCGAGCAAGAGAATTGTACGCACGATGCAATATAATAGGTAATACGACCGCAAACGGCAACGTGGCAGCAAATACACCGCCGAGCAAGACTTGCCACGTAGCGCTCGATCGTTGCTGCCACCTTTGCTGTTGTATAACGATTTGCGCCATGCATCGTCTTGCTCGACGGTTTTTACCGTCTGTTTGCGGTTACCATTATACTAGCACATTTTGCGCGGTTTTTGGCGTTGCTCTCTCATTTTATAAACAAGTTTTGTAAGCAAAACGCAAGCCGTACGAGGACACCGAAAACCGAGGCACCGGTTATACCATCCATCAGAATTCCGATTGAATTTGCTGCCAATTTGCAAGCGTATTGTTATCATTTTGCTTTAAAGGATATGTACTTATACACGTATGCGCTTCACACCGATCGATCGCAAAAATGTTAAAATTCAGTTAAAATTTATATCGCGCGTCCGGAACAAAAGCAAGTATTCGAGATTCGATTAAATCTTTGTCGCTCGTCGAGTACCTCGTTGAATATCCGAAAAGGCGTAAGATGACGTAAAATATTGACGTTGACATTGATGTATGCGCGTGTTGCGAAAAAAAAGGCAAATTGGAAATAAATAATATACGCGGAATCACACGAGATTAATTCTGTTGATGTACGTGAACGAAAGCGATCAGTTATCATTTTGCACGCCGTCCTTAATCTCGTGCCGCGATCTCTTATCCAACTTATTTTACCGTTGACACTTTTAATCCCCTCACTCGCATTTTTCTCTGTGCGCGGCGCGGCGGTAAGCTCAAGTAATTGTGCCTCGATGCTTCGATGCCTCGTTTAATAAATGCCTTTGTCTCTTGGTTGAACTAAACAATATAAATGATGCTATCTATAAATGCCACACGTAATGTTCTGTGCCTCCGCAGCCATTAAAATAGCTTCGATATAATGAACTAATAATGAACTTGCGCTTAATTCGCGCGCTCTAGCTCTGAACTCTACGATTTTATCATTTACCGAGAATTTCGTCTCTGGACGTAGCCCCCATGTTTCCCCCATGTTTCCCTTCTAATTTGTATGTTGTACAAAAACAAAACAAAACAAATTGAAAAAGGCGAGGTAGATTATAGTCGCGACGTTAACGTGTGTCAATGCGTCAATCCATCGATTCAACCTTGAGATAATCGTACCGTGTCCGATAATCCTATATGAACAGCATTATGAATCATAATTTGTCCGAGTTATAAAACGGCTATAGATATAAGAGATTAAAGCGCGCGTATCACCCTTGCTCTCTCATGTTCGCGTGGTAGGCATCAGGCAGCCAGGCAGGCAGGTCGATTAATTGAGCTAGATTCGAATTGACGGAAGATAACGTTCATCTCGTCTTTTATTTAACCCAAGTGCAAACACATTTAAGTAGCTACAAATGTTGAATCGGTTACAAAATCTGTTTTGCGGTCCTGCCTCTGACAGCAGCAGGCATACCCAAGCAGGTGTAGCAGATTGCGCGTTTATAGCCATTATACGCACCAACCTACCACGCGATATCACACTATTCACGGCCGCAACGCTACGCTGCGGCTTTACGCTTTGACGCTTTGTCATAGCTCTTTCGGCAAAGCTTGGACTCTTGGGCATACATACGTCTTATGTACGCTTCAACGTTTTACAACATATAGGTACGACGTTATACAACGTTGTAAAATCATAAAGCACAGTTGACGTTCTTTCTCTCCGTGTATCAGGTGTACGAACGATCAAAAATCGGCGTCGGATTTACTTCGCTATCGAAAGCTATGTACATACATTATAACTTTATAACGGGAATTTAGATAGCGAAATATTTTAATGTAACATGTAACATGTGGTGTTTACTGGAAATCTTGCAAACAGCTTTATCTGCAATAACTCTAGAGTACGAATACAAACGTTTATCGCGCGCGTGTATACATATGTACATTATATCGCAATATATTCTATTTTAATCATGGTTAATTCGAATCTCACTTTATCTTTAAGCACTACTTGTAATGTTTGGTGTAACCTATTTCACAACCTTCTTTTTTATATAATAGTCTAAATCTCTAAATCCAGTCTCTCTCTCTCTCTCTCTCTCTCTCTCTCTCGCACGCGCGCACGAGCGACACATTACACGTTGGTGTATCGTATCAATCGTATGTCGGCAAAGATTCTTCTTAGCGCTTTTCCTTAGCAGTGTTTCTTTGGTTCGTCAAAGACATTATCTACGTCCAACTGTGACAAGATCTCGTCGTCCGAGTCATACTCATTATCGTTAGTAAAATAGCTTAGCAAAGCTTTTGAATTTTCGACGTTACGTTTCAAATTTGGCAATGTAGATCTCACGCTTACATTCGAATCTCTACATGACATATTGTCATAAGACGGGAAACAATTGTCACGTTCGTAACGTGCGTTACGCGTTCCGCAAGATTTTACATCAGTGACGCACTTCTGTGGCAAGTGTCGCTCTTTCACTTGCTTTTGAAAATCTATTGTCGATCCCTTTTCCATCGTTCTCACTTCCAAGTCGCACTGCTGAATTTCACTACCTCGCGAAATAGTCGTACTTTTGCATAGTGAACGATCGAGACAACTCTGCTCTTCCAGAGTTGTAAAGTCACAATCGGTAGTAAGAAAAATGTCCGTACTATCCAAGTCGTCCGTACCCATCGAATAATTAAAACGTCCAAGTATTTCGTCTGTAACTTGTAAGTTTTTGTCATTCTTCGGACGTAGCATCGGCGGACAATTCGCCAACTCGGGTTCGCGAGACTCGATTCTTGTAGCGGATGACGGGATGAAAGAAAAAGAACTAGCTTGCCGAGATGCGTTACGACTTTCAGCCATCTTTTGCAGTCCAGAGATGTAAGCTGATTTCGAAACTGTCATACGATCGTTAATCTTATTTAATTCGACGTTTGAAGTCGTTTGGTCGGTGGACAAAATGCTTTCCATAAGAGACGTACTTACAATCCGGCCTTTATCCGAATATATGGCTATCAAGTTTACTAGGGATACTAAAATATGATATTTATTTGTTACTACGTACGTTGTAGTTTTTAGTAGTCCTACATCTCGTAAAAGAATCACTACATTTGGCTCCAATATGCCGGGATAAGTTAACGGAATATCACGATGAATGGTGCCTTCTATGCTACCCGTCGAATCTTTTAATACAACAAACGGATCGTCGTGACTATGATCTATGTAATCCAATACACCGGCTATAAATTTTACTTTCGTACTCTCGCAATGACTAGACGTCGCTTTGTCTTTAACAGTGGAAATCTTGTAATCCTGTAAGAAATTTTTTGGCAGATCGTTCAACAAAAGTTTCCAAGCTTTCTCTCCAAATAAGTTTTTCTCGTCTTGGGACTTGTTCTCGATGTGCTTGGTTGTCGTTTTATTTCTTTCCAATGCTTCAACGCTACTTAGATAAGATGCAGCAGAGATATTATTGTCGTTTTTCATGTCTGGTATCAAGCCAGCTGGCCCAGGAAATATTCTAATCAATTTTACCTCTTTCGCGAGTCTTTCTTCAATCATAGGCTCGTGACTCTTTTCTCGGGACTCTTCATACCGGAACACTTTCGACGTTGCATCCACTTTAGGCTGAAAACATTGCGTCTTCCTTGGTACCCCTGACGGATCATTTTCTACCTCCTTCGCAAAGTCAAATGTCTTTCGAGAGGTACTTGACTGGAAAATTCCCAACAATAGGTCCCCTCGTGATACGTCGTCGTTCTCTTGATTCTTGAAAGGCGGGTCGTTCGCCTCGACATTCGCTACAATATCCAACTCTGTGTGCCGAACGAAAGTACTATCCGTCGACAATGACGGCAAAACCTCGCAACTGTCCACTTTACGCCGCTTGACAGACGATGTTTTTTCTCCATTTTGACACGGAGACGAGGATTTCCATCTCGTCTCCTCCTCGACATCATCCCCGTCGAAAGCATCCTAGAATAGTACATGGAACAAGTACGTGTCAGTAATGTCCGTCTTACAAATTACATTGAAAGATACTCTACCGGAGTTGTCTGTGCCGGAGTTGCGATGATAATACATTACAATATACGAGAGAAAACACATCAAGTCGCAAATTAGCCAGAGAACGTCTAATATAATCTCGTACAGTTAAAAGACTCACTTCAAAGATCCAATCGTCACTTTCGAACATAATCTTGCATAATCAAGAAAAATCTGCTAATCTGGAAATAATATTCGTTCACAGTGGTTCACAGTCTTCAGCACTGTCTTCACTGTCTTCAGTCGTCAGCGCGTAGTAAACGTAAACACCGTGACCGTGTCAGACTTTAGGTTAGGACTTGGGTTGCATCCCCATGGAGAGAGAATAGCGGAACGGAACTAAAACGGAATTGCTCTGATTGGGTAATCTCCAAATGGGGGCTCTCTCTCAAGATGAGATACTAGCCAATCAAAGGAATTTTAATTCCGTTTTCCGCTATTTCTTTCTCCATGGGGATGCACCCTTATGCTAGGTCTACATACACGGCGAGTCGTAAAGTCGTGAATCGTGATTATTCTCCTCAAATTCGACTGTGATTGATCAATTCTTACGACTCGCATTGTAGGCCTAGCATAAATAGACCTATTTGTAAACCCAAACTTATAAGTGCTTGTCTACAATAGGTGTTTTAAGCCCTAAGCCTTAAGAAATTGTTCAATCACAGTTGAATTTGAGGAGAATAATGCTAGGTCTACAATGCGAGTCGTAAAATCGTGAGTCGTAAGAATTGACCAATCACAATCGAATTTGAGAAGAATAATCGACTGTGATTGATCAATTCTTACGACTCACGACTTTACGACTCGCATTGTAGACCTAGCATAATTGACTGTGCGTGGTCACGTTCTTAGGGCTTAGGGCCAATTTCACCAACCACAGTTAGCTTAACCGACAGTTAAAGTTAGCAGGATTGACCAATAAAAAGTAGGGTGGATTCATTTCTATTGGTCAATTCTGTTAACTTTAACCATCGGTTAAGCTAACTGTGGTTGGTGAAATTGGCCCTTAGGGCTTAAAATACCTATTGTAGACGGGCATCAATTTTCTATAAAATTGATTGGTCTATACACATGTGCATAATGAAATAGACCAATCAATGGCCGCGTTCAGCAGACACAATTGTTGAGTCTCGTCTTATCAACAATCTGCGTTGATTGGTTGGTTCTAAAAGTAAGAGCCAATCACAATACTGTGTTAATGTTTCCTGTCTTGTGTAGTATACGTCGCGTATACGCGTTACATAAGACAAAGACTTAAAGGTGGAAGCACATAAAATTGCAGGAGCCTTGAGCAGAATGCAAAAGCCATATGCGCATGCGCTATGGTATTTGTAGAGCTCTACAGATACCACAGCGCATGCGCATATGGCTTCTGCATTCTGCTCATGGCTCCTGCAATTTTATGTGCTTCCACCTTTAGGCATAAAACACTGCCTTAAGGCCATTGCACGTAACAAAGTTTTAGTCATAATCGTAAGACCGTAAAGCCCGGTGTCCACGATGCAAGAACTGTGTCCAAGTTTCGGTTTAAGCCAATCAACTAGCAGCTCTTACAGAAAAGTAGCAGTTTCATTGGCTTAAACCGAAACTTGGACACAGTTCTAGCATCGTGGACACCGGGCTTAAGAAAATAGACCAATCACAGTCGATTACTCTTCTTGAGCTCGAAGAATAATAGAGTGTGATTGGTCTATTTTCTTATGGCCTTACGATTATGACTAAAACTTTGTTACGTGCAATGGCCTTTAAGGTTATAAGACAGCCATTCTGCTTAGGCCCTTAGGGTTGATTTATAATAGCCGTAACCGTTGATTTAAGCCGTAATCTTTAAGAAATTGACCAATCACAGTCGAATGTGAGAAGAATAATCGACTGTGATTGGTCAATTTCTTAAAGATTACGGCTTAAATCAACGGTTACGGCTATTATAAACCAGCCCTTACGCATTATGCGTTGTGCAGAAGTGTATGCTCCCCGCTTAAAGGTCAATTCAGACAAACTTGCATAGCGCATAAACATAAGCATAAGAGAATTGATTGGTCCATATGCATATTCATAAGGAAATAGACCAATCCGTTTCTTTATGCATATGGTTATGCACCTATGCAAATTTGTCTGGATAGACTTTTAAGGCCATCGCACACAAAATGCATAGCTTAGCATAAGCATAGCATAAGACCGCTAAACCAATGAGCATCCAGCATAAAGTCGCCATATTGATTTACATAAGATGCTCATTGGTCCAGCGGTCTTATGCTACGCTTATGTTAAGCTATGCATTTTGTGTGCGATGGCCTTAAGGCCCGGACACACACTTCTGCACAACGCATACGGCGTAAGCATAAGAAAATAGATTGGTCTATTTCCTTATGCACACGTGTATGGACCAATCAATTTTTTTATGCTTACGCCGTATGCGTTGTACAGAAGTGTGTGCTTTCCGCTTAAGCCGTAAGAAATTGACCAATCACAATGGAATGTGAAGAGAATATTCGACTGTGATTGGTCAATTTCTTACGGCTTAAAGCATACCCCATAGTGCCCGTCTACACGAGTGATGACACAAGTTCTCATTCGATCTAACCTCCAAGCACGCTGGGCTGTCAAACACTGTTAAACGAGGATCCGAGGTGTAATTTACTTTTTGCAAATGCAGAAAGTAGACGGATGGTTTTGCAATAGACTGACAAGGATACATTCCGAGTTGTCGTTTTAATAAACGAGTCGATAAGTAAGTTAATTTATATCGGCTTCGATTTCGGAACAATACCGGTGTTTGCTTATTCCCGCGAACATCTAGTTGCATCATACATTAAAGGTGACTTGAAACTCCAATTAATTTAACCGGGGCGATTCATTCAAGCACTTTAGATAATACTACTACTTTAGATAATTATTTTCTTTATTAATTTACTACGTGTTTGTTGCTTTTTTCAAATGCGTGAGGTAAGACTAATCTTATCACCGTGTCTTCAACCGATTGCTGTTGCCTAATACATAAAAGATAGGTTAGAAATGTAGACGTATAGTCAGCAATTTTGTAGTAAATGTTTATCTGTCAATTTTAATCACTGGTTAAGTTGTTTAGAGTTTAGTCAACGTCGCCCCACGAAACTCTGGCATTCCTAATTAATATTTGCCGCTTTCAAAACTTGTTGATGACATTTTCTTTCGCGTAATACAGATTTCCCCCTCTTTTCGGATTGATATCATATTATATGATACTTTAAAGTGGAATCATCTGTCAGTGATACGAGTTTTTTGTGATCGAGCTTTACATATAAATCAAGTCCGTTTGCGATTGATCAAGAGAATCAGTAAGTATCGTTATACCTGAAATGGTACATTTTCTTTATTTGGCCTCCCAGCATAAAATCTGTAATTCTAAATTATATACACGTGACCTTTATTATTGCCTTTAATTATTTTCAGGTACAGCTTTACATCCCCCCTACCGATCTAAACGCAAGACGTGCTCCAAGATGCTGAGATTATTCAAATTATCGAGCAACTCGCTCTTAAAAGGCGCAGCTTTACAGCAGCGCGTCGTCACATACCGTACCTTCCGGTCGTCTACAAGCGCTGCCGCGAGCGCGTTGCATCCGAGAAAGGAGCTGACGCCGGATGAACTAGCTAAATTCAAGAAGGGCGAGATTCTTCACGGGTTCATGGTGGACGAGGTTTCGAGCATAGACGAGCTGTTCCTCACTGCGGTGAGGCTGACGCATCTGAGCACGGGCGCGCAGTATTTGCATCTGGCCAGAGACGACACCAACAACGTGTTCTCCATTGGATTTCGCACGACTCCCATGGATTCCACGGGATTGCCCCATATACTGGAGCACACCACTCTGTGCGGCAGCGAGCGATATCCCTGCAGAGATCCGTTCTTCAAGATGCTGAGGAGATCCCTGGCAACGTTCATGAACGCTATGACCGGGCCGGACTATACCATATATCCGTTCTCGACGCAGAACTTGAAGGATTACCGCAATCTACAGTCGGTTTACTTGGACTCGGTCTTCAAACCGAATCTGCGAGAGCTGGACTTCCGACAGGAGGGATGGAGACTGGAACACGCGGACGTCAACGACAAGAACTCTCCCATTGTGTTCAAGGGAGTGGTCTTCAACGAGATGAAGGGTGTTTTCAATGACAATCAGGCCATTATGGCGGAACGCCTGTTGAATTCCATTCTACCGAGCCACACGTACTCTGTAATTTCCGGCGGCGATCCTCTTGTTATACCTAATCTACAGTACGTCGATCTCCTTAACTTTCACAAAAAGTACTATCATCCCTCCAATTCGCGCTTTTATTCCTACGGAAATTTCCCGCTGGAGGACCATCTCAAGTTCATCAACGATCGGTACCTCTTCCTCGCTGACAGGATAGACGCTTCTATGTCGGAAGTGCCAGCGGAGAAGCGATGGAGCAACGCTAGGAAGGATCACGTCGCGTGCAAACCCGATCCACTGCTCGCAGATCCCACCAGACACGGCACCATCGCTATCGCGCACTTGTGCAACGACATAACTAACATACAAACGACTTTCGAGATGTACGTACTGTCGCAGCTGTTGCTGAAAGGTCCAAACTCGGCGTTTTACAAATCTCTAGTCGAATCGAATATAAGCACCGGTTTCGGACCGTTCACGGGTTTCGATTCGCAGTGCAGAGACACGATGTTCGTCGTGAGTCTGCAGGGCGTCAAGTCGGACGACTTTGAGAAAATCGAGAGTATCTTCGACAAGACGGTGCGTCAAGTCATCGAGGAGGGATTCGAGAAGGATCACGTCGAAGCCGTCCTGCACGGCATCGAGCTCCATGTGAAGCATCAAACGTCGAATTTCGGGTTGGGCTTGCTCTTCAATCTGACGTCATTGTGGAATCACAACGGCGATTTGATACGGTCGTTGCGAATCAACGACGCGGTGAAGAAACTCACGTCGCGAATGAGAGAAGATTCCAGGTATCTGCAGAGTCTAACCGAGACTTATCTCGGGAACAATACCCATAGATTGACGTTAACGATGACGCCCGATGAAAAATACGAGCAGAATAAGGCGCTCGCCGAGCAAGAGCTACTAAAGACGAAGCTGGAGACACTTGACACGGAGGAACGGGAACAGATATACAAAAACGGAAAGATCTTACTCGCCGAGCAACAGAAGAAAGAGGACGCTGAAGTCTTGCCGACGTTGAAGATGGAAGACTTGAAGGCCGACGTGGAAAGATACAAGATCTCCGACCTGGAGGTCGCCGGAGTACCTCTTCAGCTGTCCGTACAACCGACGAACGGGATTTCTTATTACCGAGGAATACTCAACACGCAGGCGCTGCCGACCGAGTTGAAGCAGCTGATACCGCTGTTCAACTACGTTGTCGCGAAGATGGGCACGCAGACGTACGACTACAGGACTTTCGATCAGATGATGCAGCTGAAGACTGGTGGTCTGAACTTCATAAATCACATCGCCGACCACAAGGAGAGCGAACTCAAGTACGAGGAAGGGATTCTCGTAGAATCGTACTGCTTGGATCGCAATTCGGACGACATGTGGAAACTGTGGACCGAGCTGTTCAACAACGTTAAGCTGACCGACCTTCCGAGATTCGAGACGCTCGTGAAGATGAACGCGGCTGACCTGATCAACGGTATCTCGCACGCCGGTCACTTGTACGCGATGAGTAGCGCCGCTAGCTTGGTCTCGCCGATAGCCCGTGCGAAGGAGAGCCTCTCGGGATTGCAATATATCGCGAGGATGAAGAAAGTGGCGCAGATACGTGACTTGACTCCCCTGATGCACAAAATGCAGGAGATAGCCAATCGAGTCTTGAACAAGCAACACCTGCGATCGGTCATCAACTTGTCCGAGGAACACCGGGACGACGTTCTCAACGGTATTCGTGCGTTCTACGATTCGCTGAAGGGTCGCTCAGAGACGCCGCGCATCGTCACCAGCGCGCGGAGCATCGATACGATGGAATGCGGCACGCACCACGTGCTGCCGTACACGGTCAACTATTGCTCCAAGGCTATTTTAACTGTTCCTTATACGAATCCAGACTATGCCGCGTTGCGCGTGCTATCCAAGTTGATCACCTCCGTGTATCTGCATCCGGAGATTCGAGAGAAGGGCGGAGCTTACGGTGGAGGCGCGAAACTAACGTCGGAGGGAATTTTCTCCTTTTACTCCTACAGAGACCCGAACTCCACTCGTACCTTCGATTTGTTCGACAAGACGTATGATTTTCTAGTCGGATACTCGTTGCCCCAGAGCGATATAGACGAGGCAAAGCTGGGAATCTTCCAACAAATCGACGCTCCCATTCCTCCCAGTAATCGAGGCCTGACCAGATTCATAAACGGCATCACGGACGATGATCTTCAAAGGCAAAGAGAGCAGCTAAAAGCCGTGACTGAAGAGCAGCTTTTGCACGTGGCAGAAAAGTATCTGAAACCCGATCAAAACCAAGTCAGAGTAGGTCGTTCACTTATTGGACCGACAAATGCGGACATTTCAAGTAGGCAGAAAGAAAATTGGCTGGTGTTAAATCAGGAAGAAGCAGACCGAGCACGAGCCTCTGACTAGATAGATGTCAAAATATAATTTTTATTTTCACAATGAAGAGCGTTTTATGTTAAACTGCAGACATTGTCGTGATTTTGTTGTTGAGCGTTTCCTGTATAAATATTAGAAATTGAAACAATGACGCTCATGTTATTTATGTATTAGTACATAATGTTGAATATTATAATTTATGCTATTTTTGTACATTAAATGTATCCCAGTTAAGGGATGAAAAATATTTTGTTTTTTATACTTTACTTTATACTTTAATTTCACATACATACACAGTTTTTAAAATATTTATCACTTATTTACTGTAAGCGTAAAAATGTAACAAGCCTCTTTTCTTTTTTTAGTCAAATGATATATATGGATATCAATGCTGAAAAGAAATATTTTTCCGAAGCACTAGGCTTTTTTTACGAGACGCAATGGCTTCATAATTCTCCAGTAACTGAAATATTAACTAAAGCGTCTTTAGATGCAATCCCCAAAGAATGGATGAGCCATTTACAAATTTTAGAAAATGAGGAACTTAATAATTTTGTAGTGAAAAAAACAATAAAGGTCAGATAAGAAATCTCAGGAATACTATGTAATGGATTATTAAAATTATTAAGATTGATTGTTGTTCTAGATTGACTGGCCTGATTCTTTAAAAACATATGTTGCAAGATGTAAGAGAATCAATAGACTGCCACCTGTACCTGCATCGTTATCTTCCGTAGAACTACCGCAAAATTTTAAGATAGGTCTTAGTCAAAAGAAACAACACGAGATAATGCATTTGGCTCATTTAGTGGGTGTACAATGTAAGCGGCATGACATACGAACGATCATTGATTTGGGTGCGGGTTTGGTAAGAGAATGACAAATGGAAAAAAAAAATACAAATATAGTCAGACTCTCGTGCTACAGTATAATATCGTTTTTTTCTAGGGATATGTATGTCAAATGTTACATTATTTGCACGGCTATCGAGTCCTGGGATTGGAAAAAGACAAAGAAAATATTAGCAGAGCTTTTACTAGACAGAAAAAATTTTATCCCGATTCTTTGACTAAAGTTAAATACGCCCATTGCGACGTAACGTGTGATTCGGCCGACGCAATAGAATCCATTCTGCGGAAAGAGTTTCCCGACGTTGCAGACGTATGTCTGATCGGCCTGCACGCCTGCGGGGATCTTAGTACAAATGCATCAAGAATCTTCTGCAAAATGAAATCTGCTAAACTGTTCATTTTGATTTCCTGTTGTTATCACAAACTCTCGATTTCCAAACGTGTACAAACTCCCGTGCAGGAAGAACAATACTTTGACAATTTCCCTACATCCAACCGTCTGCGAGAAACAGTTGCGGCATATAATTTTGATATAGGACAATTCTTAAGAATACCTTTTTTGCGATTAGCGTGTCAAGAATCGGCGGACAAGTGGCACGGAATGTCCCGAGAGAAGCACGACGACCATTCCTTTCACGTTCTCGCTAGAGCCGTCCTCGAATTATATTCACGACAAAGTAGGTATCTAATGTAATACAATATATGCACATTTTATGAATTAATTGATACAGAAGGTGTATTCTAGACAATTACGTTCTCAAAAAGAACGTTCGGAAAGGCACGAGAAAGTCGCAATGCTTGAATTTTCAAACTTACGTCAAAGATTCGTTACTAAGATACGATTTCATACCAGATACAGACGAAACAGGTAACTGATAACAAAAATCAATACTTGTATAAGATTGACAATTTACATAATTAATACATAATTAAACTCACGTATAAAGACAGTGTAATCACACATGATAAAATGGAGAAGGGTATAACGCGAGTATGGGAGGAACAGAGTAGAAGCTTGAAAGCCGTAGAAATCTACACTGGATTGCAAATGATGTTACAACTTCCGGCGGAGTCACTGATTCTACAGGATCGATTATGCTGGTTACACGAACAAGGTTTGGAGGCTGTCATTGTGCCAGTGATGAACAAGTGTATTTCTCCTCGCTCCTACGCAATCGTGTCCCACAAACGCTAAAAATTATGATAGTTTTATAAATGTGGAGTATAATTTAAACCAGTTTCAAAACTATAGAATTTTTGTGGCCAAATAATGTAATTTATAACAAATTGAGAACATAATTAAAATAGTTTTTTATCAAGAGATGATATTCTCGATAATATTGCGTACGATTTTTATTATGCCTTAAACTAAAATCATGGCGTACCCAAGCAACGTAGATTAAAATTATTCTCTATGAAAATCAACGAGTGTTGGGAACGTACCGATATTTGAATCATCAGTCATTCTCTATAATACATCATGACAGAGGTGCTACGATATTTTTATCTATAAGGATGGATTTGCGATGCTGCCTTGATATTCGTTTTTATCGCACTTGGCGCCTTGTTTATTTGACCCACTGTAAAAATATTAATTTAAATTATAAATTTAGAGTGTGAGAACGTTAAATGGCGAGAGAGAAAAAAATGGAAAATACTTGAGAAAAATACTCACTTGGTGGATTGCCCAATGGTCCTTGCCCAGGTGTTTGCTGTTGATTGCCAGGTCTGCCTACCATCATGCTGTTAGCTACTGGATTTACACCGGATTGGACCATTTGTATCGAATCAGACTGCGAATGTAAAATAAAGCCAACATATCATATCTGATAGATACGGGCTCTTTTAAAAAGCTCAGCTAACCTGCTCTCCTCCGCGTGTAACTTACTTTCAAACCTTTACCCATTCCAACAGCAGCGAGAAGGGCATGAGTGTCCGCAGCACTACTGGTTTGCGCTTGGGTCGCTCTGGTGCTAACCTCGCCCTCCCAATCTTCGCGCGCTTTATTCGCTATATCCCACACGTGGCCAATCACCTTTGTATACTGCGTCATTTGTTTCTGAAACCCAACGGAAGCATCGCGAGGAACTTAATAAGTAAGGCAGGATCCGCGTGTTCCACTCGCTAGATGGACCGTTCAGGAATCTCTGCGTAGCGAATGTTTATGACAGAGAGACATGAAACATCTATGGCTATTTACGTAGCTACAAACGAGGCTTGCATACATAACATTTCAGCCCAAAGCGAATGGAACCGACAAAGCTGAAGCTATCTGATTTAGCAGCTTACACTGTAGTCCTAGTTGTTGTTTAGTTGGCACGTTAACAGAAAAATAAAACACATCTTCGGTTAGCTTCAATGTGTTTAGCTCAACGTATTTACGTGCAATCAGATATTGTATATAGAGATATACTCTTTAAAAAGTTCTAGTTTTGTCGCAGGTATGTATATCTAACGTTTAAATACTTGCAATGACAAATAATAATTTTTGCCCAACTTGAGGAAGATTTTGGTGTTAAATCAAACAAAAAGTATTTAACGCATCGAGTATAAGTGTCTTACGTGTGAAGTGTCGATGTTAACGTTCGCTGCCTTGGCTTCTAATTGCATCATCTTCTGCTCGGCTTGAGGCTCCAGCTTCGTCCTCAGGTAGTCTGGGACCAGATCATGCGCGAACGTGGGAATTCGATTCTCGGTCAATCGCAGCAGATCCTCGTCCTTCTCCGGACTCAAGCGTAACGGTAGAACCGTCAGATTCCTGAGATTCGGCGCTTTGTCGTGTCCGAGAATCTTCGAGAGGCTAGTCAACTGTACAAAAATGGCACGTTAGCGCGATAACTTGAAGATAACGCATGGACGAAAGATAGATATGTGTGGGCTGCTCTACAATTCTTTAACACCAGGTTGACCAGGCGTAGCAAAGCAGTCAAAATGACTGGTTTGCAATTTTTTATCAACGTTGTAATGATGCACTTGATGAGATTTTCCGTAACTTTGTGATTAAATTCCGCAATTTACTTATCTTTTTTATCTTTATACCGTGATGTATGTATATATTATTTAAATATAGTAGATTTAAATAGTGCGCGGTAGTCCCAGTGTTGATCGCGTAGTTGAAACGTTCAAGACGCTCTTCGGGATACTTACGTGGCCCGAAATAAGGGCGAAATTGTCGAGGAAATTCGGCCAATTCAAGGTCTCATATTCGTGCTCCACCTTGAATATCATCGCGGCAATCGCGGTCTTCAGGTCGTTCACGCGCATTATTATGGCCTCCAAGGCCGAATCCAGTTGCTTCTCCTCCCTTTGCATCACGTACGTTTTATCATCAAACACGATGACGGCGAATTTCACTCTACCGTTTCGTTCGTCGCACGCAAAACGTGCCAAACGTCTCCTGTCCTGTCTCTTCGGCTTGCCTCTTGCTCTTCTTCTTAAACTATAGTGATTAGCTCTTAGCTCTCGGGGAGCTCTTGCGCTGCCCTGCCTCGCTCCGCTGACCGCTGATCGCTCGGTTGGCTCCGCGCTGAGCGCTCCGCTGCCGCTGGCTCGCTGGGTCCAGGTCAGCTGGGTGCTGGGTGGGCTGGTCGTAGACAGGGTGTCCAACTGTCCAATAGTCAATACCAGATCTCGTCTGTCATTCCGCGTCTCTAGGGAATTTGAAAAATTCGAACGCGAGCCCGAACGCGAAAAAAGCGATCACGTGACGAGTGACGACCTGACGACGCTTTAGGTTAGGGGTTTGTTGTCGTTCCTTGCACACTTGCAGTTGAATGTTTAGAACGTCTCGTCTTTTCTCTTCTTTTCTCCGACGTCAAATTATACATCATCTCTTTCATTTTAATTGCGTAAAGTGTGATGTAGCGTAGCTCTGCGACAAACGCGGAGAACTTGTCATCGCGGATCAGCTGTTCGCCAGCTGATCACCCGGATCGCCGCGCCGCGAGCACGTGATCGCTCGGGATTACTTGCGAAAATTATTAATTAATCGTTCTCTTAATTGCGAGTCACTTTCGTACGGGGCACAGCGTGTTGATCGCAGCGTTGATGCACTGGATGCACAACGTAATGAAGTCCTTCCGCGAAGCCCTCGCGAGTGCCAGCAACATCCTGATTCTAACCGGCAGCGGGATCTCCGCGGAGTCCGGCGTGCCGACCTTCCGCGGCGCCGGCGGGTTTTGGCGCAAATACCAGGCGCAGAGCCTCGCGACGCCGGAGGCCTTCGCGGCGAACCCCTCGCTGGTCTGGGAGTTCTACGAATACCGCAGGCAGCTCGTGAGCAAGGTCAATCCGAACAAGGTAATTCTAAAAACTAAATATATATGTCATCAAAGAGACAAAAATTAGCATTAGAAGCAATAGCAAAACAACACGTTCATTATCCTTAGGCGCACGAGGCTGTGGCGGATTTCCAGAAGCGCAAAACAGCAGAGGGTAAGAAGGTGTCGATCGTCACGCAAAACATAGACGGTCTGCATCAAAAAGCCGGGGCGACAGATGTGTTGGAGCTGCACGGTTCGCTTTACAGAACACGCTGCACCAAGTGCGGCAACGTTGCCGTTAACGAGAACATTCCAATCTGCCCAGCGCTGGCAGGAAAAGGGTATGATATGCATGAATCCTGTAACGTAGTCGCAGATAGTGAAATGCGAGACGGGACTATCTGTGCGTGGGGTGCTTCTCGTAGATCTCATGATCTCTAACATGTCTGAGCAGATCTCCTGACCCGAGCATTATGTCCTCTGATATCCCAACAGAACAACTGCCACGTTGCGAGGTCAAAAATTGCGGCGCGTTGCTGCGACCTGATATCATATGGTTTGGGGAACAGTTAGACGCGAACGTATTGGAGAAGGCCTGTGCGTACGCTCATTTAGTAAATATAACTGTACATTCTGCTTGTATAAAATGTGAAAAAGCGTATAGCCTTTGATTAAAAACTTGGTACTGCGTAAGGTACATACCAAGTAACGTAAGGAAATAAGATAACTAAAATCTATTTATCTCACACGCGTCAATTCTTTTAAACTGCAGTTGACATTGTGGAAACGTGCGACGCTTGTCTGGTTATTGGAACTTCGGCGATCGTCTATCCAGCCGCTATGTTTGCGCCACAAGTAGCGCAACGTAATATACCGGTCGCCGAATTTAATATAGAAAAAACGCCAGCCACGAGACGAGTGCAGTAAGTATATAAAATCTCTTGTCAATAAAAAAATCTCGCTCGAATATTTATGTAAAAGTATTCGCTGAAATAGCTCGCAAGTTTTTATATAACTTTAAAATAAAAAGATCTACAGATATATAAATATAGGTATCACAATATAAAATATAATTTTTATCTTTTTTATACACGCATGCAGTGTATCTCTATAATTATTTGTTGGTTATATGCATCACAGTCGCTCTGTTTCTTCATGCTTTCGCTTACGTCCTTTAGAGTTCGCGTCTGACTGTAACAAAAAAAAAAGGAACATATCACATTTGTATTGATTAGATAATAAGCCAATAATTCTTGTAGAACAACACTTTTTAAAAAGCGACGTATTTTACAGATACCACTTCCAAGGTCCTTCTTCTATCACTGTGACAGAAGCATTGGCGCCTTAAAAGGGTTGGAATATATAATAAAATAATACGTGAACTCCTTTATAGCACAAAAAAAATGATTACCTCACAATAGCATACTTCTGTATTGAGTCCAAGCTGAATCAAATAATCCAACCATAATTTTTGTTTGGTTGACAGCGAATCACCCGGACCCTTCACTTCTACAATTTTGTACTGAAAAAATAACACACATTAGGTTACAGTTTGTTGGAACTTATGTTTGGTAGAATATATGCCATTCTTCTCTAAGATCTGTTTTATATAAACTCTTAAAATTGTACATAGAAAAGATTGGCTTGCCTGTTTTGTACGTGCGTTCCACACAAATATATCTGGAAAGCCAGCTTTCCAGAGTGGGAAATTATAAATGAGCCGTTCGCAGATTCCAACAACACCCTCCACTCCTAAGCAGAATGCTATTTCCTGAAAACAAACGTGTGATATATTTTAGACACATCTTATTTTATAAACTTTGTCGGTTACTTACTTGGAGGCTGCTACTGTCGTTAAAAATGTTACCCTGAGCAATAGACTTGTATTCACAATGTAACTCGAATTCACGCTTCAAATGTTTGCTCAACGTTTCCGAATCGTACTTTCGAACCATCTGAAGCTTCATGTCGATTTGTTTTTTCCTATTCTTATAAAATTCTGACGAATACAGATCCAACGGCGCATCCTGATACAACGACACCCAAGCGCCGGGAATTTTCATGTCATAAATCTCGTCCCAAAATAATGTAGCGAATAGAGTGATTGGAAAAGCACCCTCGCAATGCATGCCCTTGACATATCCTTCGCATTTGTAGTAATATAACGCCAGACTTTCAACCGAGCCGTATGTTTGTTGGTCTACGCCGTTGCTGATACGCCAAACGCTCTTTTTCTGTGAAGCGTTACTGGAAAGATATGATGTACAGATATACATCTTTTATTTATTTAAATGGCTTTGATTTACGTCACATGTATCTTACCCGCATAACGTTCCTTTTATCGTAATGGACGTTGAAGATGTAAGCTGCGTCCTAAATCCGTTGTCCAACATACGTTTAACGAAGGCTTTTGCATGTTGGCTGATACCAGATTTTCTCTTAACAATCTTCTCCGCTCTGTCCAACAGGTCTAATCTATCAACTTCTGTCAAGCTCTCATACGTCATCGCGTCCGATAGTACGGCGACGCTCGCTTCGAGATTCTTCCGGTGAAACATTTCAATCTTGATCAACTCACTGTACCACTGACCTTTTCTATGTTTCATGTGACAATCCTGATTTATTAACATTCGCAGAAATTCTATCGCCAGTGGTATCGTTTCCTTCATCTTTTTAAATGCATCGATGCTTTTGCTTAAGACTTTGAGCCACATGTAACCCGGCATAAAGTGCCTGATGTAATGAGGTAAATTAGAATTTTGAAGACTGAAAATGAACACGATATCAAACAACGTTGCTTTATAATGATACGTTTGTCTTTGAGAAATATATTCCGTCACGTCACGTTTTCCCCTTACCTTTCCGACTCCATTTTCATGAAGAGCGGCAAACGTTGGCGCGCGGCTAAAGTTCCAAGCTTCCGTACAGTCTCCCATTGCTTTTCCTCGATAGCACTTAATACATTGGTTAGCGTACTTTTCGCCTCAATGTAACTGTGAATTACGTTCAAGTTTCAAATTAAATCAAGATAAAAGAATGATAAATAATGTGTGTCTATATATATACATATATATATATATATATATATATATATGAGAATGATAAATAAAATAAACCCACGCACCGTAACAGATGTCCCTTACTGGCGAAGATGGGAAAGTCACTTATGGTTATTTCTGGAAACTTTATCTGATCTGTCTCAATTCTTAATAACATTAGGAATAAATCCACCAACGTCTCGGTGGGGTCTTGACTAGGTATCAGCAGCGTAATCGTTCTATCAACCACTTCTTTCACTCTGGTGTTCAATAATATGCAATCCCCCAAGCGTCTCGTGACCAACGCGCGTAATTTAGAGGCGGGAGTCGCCATTCCAGGAAACAATGATTTCGTTTTGCGGCAGAATTTCAAAACTGATTGTATTATATTCTCCTTTTTTCCACTAACGTTGATCTTCGATTCCTGACAAACCTTGCGAATTTCATCGACTTGCAGCAAGTTTAGTAAAACGGACAGGTCTTCCTCTTCCGTGTTACTTTGAAAAATAGATCGCGATACAAGCTCGTCGAAGATCGGCTTCAAGTCGTTGGATATTTCATCGTACTTAATGTTGCTTATCCTGTGCCACGTGTGCTTCCTCTTCAGCATGCGTATAAATAATGCTTGCGCAGGTTTTTGAAGGGTGATGAGCGAGAATATCAAATCCAGCTCGTCCTGCGTGAAATATCCGCAATTGATTGGATTGGAGAATACGGTAACAATGACTTGGAAGAAATGCAGCGAATACATATCCGTAGGTACGACCACATCGTTAATCTCGTATCTCGTCGTAACTGTAGTGTCTATGGGCGTGTACTGGTAGTTGAAACTCCCGTTCGAGTAAGCTTTCTCCAGATCAATGTCCGTGTTAGCGATGGCTCCTTCTTTGGCCAAATTTAGATTATTTATCATTACAGATATCGATTCCACGGTTTTGTCTTTGAACAATTTCCTTCGCGCCGTCTTTGCGCGTCCTGGTGACCTGTCTAGCGCGTCTTTTATCGGAGACGCGGTCTTTGGCGTGAACTTTGCGCCACTGTGCGACGTAGGAGTACGTTGTTGACTTCTGATGGGAGAAGCGTGTTCATCAACAGTTGGTGACGTTACTAATCCATTTCCCGTAACTTTTGTTGGACCGTTATACGTATCAGCTTTGGATGAACGCTGGGGTGTCTCGCTGGCTGACGAGACATTATCTTGCTTTTGTTTTTCACTCGTTTTCCATGAATACGTGTGTTTTTCCTTCTTCTTACGTACACAACAAGTTGTCGATAAATCTGATACTTGTCTTCTTTTCTGTACAACAAGAAGTAAACGTCGTTATATTGTTAATATAGACCACGTGTTACTATACTCGATAGACTCGTATGTCAGACACTGAATGACAGTTGTGTAAACTTACCATCTTACCACGCACTGGGCTTCTGACAGTAGACGACCTTTTGACATTTATACTTTCAGGTTTCTTGCTGCTACTCGTAACTTTATAGAACTGGTCTATCCTGGTTTGTGCCATCGTGTTGGAAAAATGTTCAGCTTCAGGTTCAGGTTGATCAATCGTCAAACCATCTCACGTCACTCGTGACAATTTACTTATATCGTCATGCATCGATGTAATAAACTGCAAAGGAGACTCGGCGGCACGGACTCGAATGCAGGCGCATTCCCAGACACCTGGAGGAACGAACGGAGGGTCAATCTGCGTCAATCGTTTGCTCTCAATCCTTTTTTATTTCGTTCGTACATTATCCTATCCTTAAGTGGTACTTAATTTAAACCATAGCGGATCGACCAAGGAAATTACATTATTTACACAGTCCATACAAATCACCGGCGGTTACAAGTGTTCGCTTGTTCGAAAGCCATACGGATCCGGAATCGTGGATCGTGCCGCGGTCGAGAACCCAAGTATCGACGGCGTTTTAATGCTCTTTCATAATTCTCGCAGCTCTTCCCGTATATTTTCAAGTTAAAGCTACTCGCGAAGGACGTCGGAATCGGGCTCGGGCGGGAACCGTGTGAAGCCTAGCGAAACGGTGAGTCCCGTCGATCCTCGCGCCTTACCTTATAAAGATAAAGATCCAGAAGTCGCGTACGTATGCCGGAGGAAAGACTAAAGGGATTGTAAATCCGCGAGACGCGTCTCGGACGTCGAAAACCACTGTATAAAATCAAACTCGGCGAGCGGGTGACTGTGCGTCATGCCGCCGCGCAACTGCGCGCAACGTCGGACAAGTTAGGTTAAGTTAGGTTAGGTTAGCCTCGCCCTCCGCGCAGATGCGCCGCGCCGGGTCTCGCGTGGCGGGAAGCGAGCGTAGCAAAACGCAAACGTAACCTGCAAAAAGAGACTCGGCGATTATCTTTAAGATTATTAACGTCGCAATGTAATGATGTTTCGGCGCGATAATTCGATATATGAAATAAATTTACAAACGTCGATTCATGTATATATATCGGCGCGATTCACGCCGATATATAAAAAGATTACACATTGTTTTTATAGATGTAAACCATACATACACGTCTATGGATGTAACAAAGTTTATAATAAATGAAAAGGACAAAATGCCATTTTATAGAAACTTAGCGATCGAATAAACACTTAACGCAATTGCAATTCAATACGATAATTTATGTAAACTGTCCTGCTAAGGAAGAGTGTAATATTTACAAATCAGCAAACTGAAAAAAAAAAAAAAAAAAACAGCTCAAAAGTCTTTAATAGAACCATTACGATCCATGTCTATTTTATCAATCAAACTTCTTTGAACATTACTTCTAGAAATCATTTTGTGGAGCTAAAATTACAATATTTATATTGTAAAATATTAAAAAAAAAAAAACACACGGCATTTACTTAGCAGAGCAATATATATAAATATATATGATAGAATATACATATATATATTGTATATGAAAAAAATTCTCGTCAGAAAAATTCATAACATCCGAATTAAAAAAAAAAAAGATTATAAAAGCATAGATCCTGAAGAGCTAGGTAAGCTTTAAAAAAAAATAGAAAAGAAAGATTGATAGCGCAATCGGAATTTATTTTAGCAGGTCCACTTTGTTCGGATTTTGTCTCCAAGTGTAATTCTCTCACGGCTCTCTCACGGCTGAAACGTAAGAGACGCTCTGTCTTCTTTTCTCCGTTTAAAAAGCACACAAGGAAACGGGACTCGCGCCTGTTAAAAGTAACGTTTCGTTGCCGCGTGGCGAACGCAAAGACAACCGAATTTCAGACTCTTATTAAATTGCATTCGGCTCACCGAGTTACTCAGAGGTATTGTATACAGCGAATTTGTGACCTAACGCGCCGCATTCTCTCTTTCTCTCTCTCTCTCTCTCTCTCTCTCTCTCTCTTTTTATATATTTTTATTTATATATATATATATATATATATATATATATATATATATATATATATATATTTATGTATGTCGTGTTTGCATGTACAGAGCTTACGAGATGCGTCACGTGTATACGTACATATGTATATACGAATATGTACAAGTCATCTAGCATTCGTCGATCTCTTTCTTCTCCCGCCTCCTCGGAATTACACCCTAGTTAGAATATATTTAATAGCCAAAAAAATGCAACCCGTAAATTGACTTATAATATATACATATATATATACACTCACTCACTCACTCACTCACACGCATTCACGTGGTTATATCCGCTACCTCGCGCGTGCCGCGTTTAATCGCACGGATTACAAATAATTAATACTTAGGTCTCTATACATAAGTTGCGGGGAAATGCAAACTCATCCACCAGGTAACACCTCTCCGCGTTCTCTGTCCTAACAATAATAAAGATCGAGATGTTATATCTCGCGCTTGGACTCAAGTTCTCACGAGGAGAGATCTTCTCGTTCCGCGATCAACCGCGCGTGCGAAAACTGAAAACTTGGAAACTCGGAATAAACCATACGATTAATTCGGGAACATAAGTAATAATAAGTATAATAATTTAATATAAATGATTTTTATGTGTTACCGCGAATAAAGTCTCGATAAATCAAATGTATGTTTCGCGGCGTCGAGGGGTGTTAACAGGCGATGAATTTGGATCAGACGACGCAGACGTGTCGTGTCGAGGAACAAGACGAAGGGCCGTCCGGAGCGAACGTTCTACGGGATGTCCTGTAAGTCCAGCATCATAGTGTAACGCCGTTAGTCCTGAACATGAGCCATATGCTTCTCGATCGCGTAAAGTGTAATTTTATATATTGAGAACGATGATGGATATATATTGAGCAGCTGTATTACATAAAAGCTTTCGTCTTACCCGTTTAATTCTTTTTTTCCTACGATGCTGGACCCGTAGAATATCCTATATGTACGCGATAGAGCTCCCTGCGTCTCCTTTCAGTCCCTCCGCGCGCGAGTCCTCTGACTGTACACGTGTTCTCGTCAAGAGAGAACGTACTCGCGCCTAAAGTTTCATACGAATCGGAGCTTTGGCTGAAGCGTCGTCTCCGTCTTTCTCTCACTTTTTTCTTCTTATCTTTTCGTTCCGATCGGACCTTCCTGTGTCGCACAGCGACGCGGAAGCCCTACACCGTATTCACAGAATAAAATACACGTATATATAAGTAGATATACACATCGTGCCTCGACGCGTCGGTCGATATTAAATCGTAAATCTGTTTAACACGCAGAAAAAGTGTTGTCGTGGAGCCGTCTTGTTTAGATACCGCTACTGACCGGTTTTAAGCTCATTCCTCTCCTCCCGACAATCTCGTCTCTTACGCGCAAACAAGCGGCTTAGCATCTTTTCGCCTCGTCTCATCTCGTCAACTCGGAATATTTGCATTGATCGGTCTTAACTTCTACTTACATGATACACTATTGTTTCTCGCGAATGCAACGAATTGGGTAAACACGAAGTCTCACCGTTCGAGATACGACCGATCTCTTTATCTCGCCTCTCGTCTCTTTTTCCTCTTCCTCTTCTCTTTCAGTTTCAATGAAAATTTTCTCGGCGCGTCTTTCAACGGTATAGTCCGATCGAAACGAAGGTTTTTCTCCTGCGAGTTCTACAGACGAACGCACCTCGCGGTCTTATGCCGCAGTGGAATTTCGTGTTTGCCAAACCAGAGAAATGTAAAGCGAAACTCAGTCTTTGGTTGGAGCGATCCTCAAATCTCTATTCTCGACGTTTTATTTAACTTTAATGGCTATCGGATTACCTTTAACATTAATAAATTTTATATAAAAATCCATATACATCCGCTACACCTTGTTCTTAAAGCGTTCCAACTAAAATAAACGGATTACTTCTCTTTACAAATACATTCTCGAATCCTCATTTTCCCTTTATATCTTCTTTTCGTTCACATAAAGTCGCTCGTTCTTCTCAAAGTCATTTGGCGGAAGAGTTATCGCTTCTTTTCGTTTTCTATTCGAGGCGTCGCTAGAAATCTCGATAGCAGTTGTATGTATGCTGTATATTACGGTGTCTCTATTTGTGTGTGTGTGTAAGTTTTTTACGGCAAGCAAATAACGTTTATAAAAGCTAGATGCTACGAATATACGAGAGCAAACAAGATGGAGAGAACGGAGGAATTTCGGTTTCGCGCGCAACAGTGAGTCTGAGAAAAACGAGAGAAACGATCAAGTATCTAAAGAGTATGTACAAACACGTGTCAGAAAAGCGGATCTCACAAAAGAAAAGAGCACGTCCTGACAATATACAGGCGAAAAAGTGTGAAGATCTTAACAAAATAATAAGTTTCTATCCAGGATAAAATTTCTTTATTACTCCTCCTTTCTAAAATCCTCTTGAAATTCATAAATTTTCATACACATTTCGCTGTGCGTCTACCACAACAACGTTTCTTTTTTTTTTAATTACAGTTATTCAGTTAATTACCTAAAAGTAAGAGATACAATAAGCGTAATTATTTTTATATGTACAATATATCTGGTTTTTTTTTGTTTCATTTTATTACGATTTCGAGAAGTCTCCCTATGATTTGTGTAATCACTCGCACCATAATCTTACTCCCCCACCGTTCTCGCGTTACGGCTGGCGACGAATCGTTTTATGGCTCGCTACCGCGAGACCAGGCGTTCACAGATAAATCAGAAATTCCATGTTTTATACCGTCGATTATACTCAATGATCAGTGCCTGCGCGCGTTTCGATTTGCAACAAATAACAATCACGTGCTGCGTAATCTCAAATTTATAATCCACTCTTGTACGCGGTTATTCTGTTTGTAACGAGAAAAAGTACAAATATCAGTATGTCAAAGAAGAATATGAGTCGAGTGTGACTATAGAGGGTACAAAAGTGATTCTGTTCTCTGCAAGGCATTCCAACCGAAGAACCGTTCTGACCTCTTTCTCTCTCACGTAAATTTGTTATCGTTAATTTGGAAAGGTCATCTCGTTTAGAACACCGTATTTATAAAAATAAAATATACAATCGGCAAATCGGTTAAATCGCAAAGATACTCTCCTCTCTCGTTTCTTTTATATGCTCCTTACATTAAAACACATTTTTTTTTTGTAATCTGATGAAGAAGGCAGAAGAGCAAGTGGTGTCCTATAGAAAGACTAAGAGACGAAGAGAGTCGTATTACATGTCACCCATATTACATGTAGAAAATCCAGGATATACTACGTTCTTCTTTTTTCGTGATAATTTTCGAATATTTGTCGGCGAAAGTATACACATTTTACCTAAAGGAAGGTTGCGTCGATTAAATGTACGAGTACGAGATGTTTTGCTCGAGTCGACTCTGTAGATACAGCCAAGATAATTTCAGTTCAGTTGTATCAACAGACTCTACCTCTCGAACTTGGCGGCGAATTACATGTACATACACGGGTGAAGGGAACGAATGTATAATGTCACTTGTGTGTAATTTGACGTTGCCTTCTCGGAGGATAATGTTGAGATACCTGTCCAAACGAGACGGTTTAATGGCACGCCCGAATTTTATTTGCATGCTCTCACGATGCCTGTAACATGTGGCGTAACACGTGGCAAGATTCACACGGGCTTTCAATCCCGACGTTCGTGTCCGCGAGCCATAAGAACTCTATTCTACAAATAAGAACACGTATCGAACAGCTTTCCGACGTTTACGTAAATCTACGGTAGAATACCGAGTCTGTGAGAGGACAGATAAAAGTGTGATATGAGGTGCAATATTGTAATAGCTTCTTGCTTCGATCTTATCTCGTTAAATTCGTTTATACGGGAGATATATATATATATATATGTAAAAAAAAAAAAAAAAAAAAAAAAAACACGAAATAAATTCGCGCATAGAAGAACAGTTGCTTAAATGAATCTGCCTTTAGAGACAATGAAATTTAACCGCTTGTATATCTACTTTGCCAAACGCCATTGCTCGTAGTATTTCAATATTTTTCTAACATCGATAATAATAATTTCAGTCACTGATGTGAAAGACACAAGTATTCTTATACGTTGCCCCCGGTGAGCTTTGTAGATTCTAACACAATATAAAAATGTTCCTTTCGCGCAAACAAAAATCCCGTGATACAAGCTTTCCAAACGCAACATTATTAAGGTTACATTACATTATAATTGCATATCGGTCGGATAATACGCGGCGATGGATATGCAGGTATCAAAATGTACATTTTGGCGATTACTGGAGAGAAAGAAGGGAAAAGAAATTCTTTTACGATTACAATGACTTAATGCTATCAAAGATTAATTGATAACAGTAGCTTCGATATTTCACAGCCTGGAAGCCTTTAACGTAGTATTATATGTATGTATGTATGTATATATATATAATATATATAAGGAGCATTACACTATATAAAGTCATACAATACTCGCGAACCGAATCTATATACATTATTGAGAAAAATCGTACACTTTCGTAAGAAATTAATTAATCTACTTTCCTTTTCTGTAACTGTTACTTATCTGGAAAGCGACGAGATGTAATTCGAGCATACTATTGTACTTACAAGCAGATTACTATACAATCCCCGTCATTGCTAATATAATGCTTTATATCTATTTTTCATACACGGTTGCGGAGGAAATTATCCAAAATCATTTTTTTTTTCCAAAACAACGATTATCTGATTTTAGGATAACTGAGACACGTTCTAATTATCGAATACACGTCCACACGCAAAGCTTCTATATTCTCGAGTGTTTATTTTTTTTATGACAAATGTTACGAAATATGCAAAATTAAAATAACTTTTCTCTTAATAATTTATGCGGCACCGGACACCGGACTTTTAATAATTCAATAATTAATTATTAATGCTGTGTCTGAGAAAGCTTGCTGCATTGTGCGCCCAATTATTATATGATTGAACAAAGTAAGATTGAACTGATAAATGAGGGATTTCAATATCAAGACAAACATAATTAGTTTGCGTCTCGAATTCCAGATTTTCCTTGCATTGAACGAACGAGACTCTTGCAGACTATTGTCACTAAAAACAACGGACAAGTATTGCACACTATACTTTGACAAGTAACTTAATTATACGCGTAATCTTTTATTTTTTTTACAGTTAAACTTATTCGCGAGTTAAACTTATTCAAGACCCACGTTGTCCTGGACTACATATCATTCCCTATTTTTTAAGACAAAGACCAAAAAAGGAAAAACGAGCACTGTTATTAAAAACGCTAGTGCTAATTTAGGACAATCGGATAGATTAGTTTCGGAGAATCTTGTATCTACAGAAACAATGGCAATATTTTTCACACGGCTATCGATCGTATTTAACGGTAAGTTGGTTATTGGTCGTTCAATGAGCAAGGAAAAAGATAATTTAAAGAATACGGAGCACGATCCCCCAACGGAGAGAAGAAAAAGAAACTTGGTACTTGCATTAGAATCCACGCTATCGCTGATTAGCGTCGCCATAACAAAACAACTGATCGGAGGAGCACGTGTACCTAGCCGTATCGCTCTTTCACGTCAACGTAGCGCAGTGTATCATCAGTACGCGTCCGATCTCTCGCCCGAAACAGACATCATAGGCAAGGTAAGAGAATTAGCGAAGCCCCCAGTGACGTATTGGCGGCAACAGGGGTGCCGATAGCAGGCATCATGTCACTTCCATCGCCAGTGAATTTGTTTTGTTCGCCCGTACAAGCTGTTGCTGCTGTTTGCTGTCGCACGGCGAACCGTCCACTCCATCCACTTCCATATCCAAACTTTCACTAAAATCAAACGAATGAAAAATCAGGACAATGTTAAAGTTGCAGAACTTTGTGTACGATCACGCCATTACGTCCCGGTTATTGAATGCTTTGTCACGAGGCTCCCGGTTCCTGGTATCATTCGAACGAAAGAAGATTCGTTAACAAAAATTCTAAATTATAGAGTTATAAAAGATAATGGATTACCTATTACTATTAAGCGTAATTTCCCCGGACGTTGGGACCTGTGGCGCCTGATTTTGCGTCTGTTGCTGCTGCTGCTGCTGCTGCCTCGCGAGGCTCGCCAATTTACTTTGCGTTATCAGGCCGGGTAACAGATTGGACGGCGGATGCTTCTGCGGTAGAACCAACGTGGACTGTTGGTTGTTCACGACGTGGGTGCTGTTCGTCAGATTGTTAGAGTTGTTTATGTGTGGCAGCGGGCCGTTCTGGTGACTATTGCCCAAGTTTGTGACGTTACTGCCGTTGCCGCTACTACTACTACCACCACCACTACCACTGCCTCCACCGTTGCCACTGCACGTGGTACTCGCACTAAACACTCTAACATTTGCACTACCACCGGTACTACTACCACCACTGCCGCAGCCGCTACCATTCCTATTATTTGTCGGACTAGTCAAGGATTTCGAGAGAATGGAGGCAGCGACACTGTTGTTCGGCACGTGTCTGTGTTGCTGCTTGGGCTGATGATTCGATTGCGTGTCGACCGCGGCACTGACACCGACAGTGCATTGCGTGGACACCGTACTCGATGCCACGGTGGCTTGATTGGTCGTACATGCGACGACGGAGGACGACGGAGAAATCGACGAAGAACTCGAACAAGTATGTACAACACTAGAACCACCACTGCAATAGGTAAGCCGGGTCTGCTGTGTCTTGGTAGGCGGCGCGAACAGATTATTCGTGAGCGGCGTCACCACGAAATGTGAACTGCCCAGTTCGCCGTCTGTCCGTGATTCGTTCACGCTGCCATCTGAGAGACCACTGCTGACGGACGCACTACCCGTACTACTATTCAGGCCCGCCACTGCAAGCTCAAAGTCCGATACAGTGTCCATTGCGAAGTAATCCGCGATATTAAACTCCGACGTAAATGGCGATTCGTCACCCGCGCGTTCCGGCTCCACCTCGATGCATATGGACGTCGCCTCGGGTGGGAACGGGTATGGAAGCTTGGATCGAGACACTGTTGACTCTACGTCCAAGTCCGTGTCGCTACTTTCCTCGCTTGGACTATGCACCGACACAGGCGGAGTCTTTGGTCGAAAATGTAACCTGCCAGACAGAAATACAAATGTAAGAAATGTGATTAAACTATGTAAAGATTATTCTTCTTTCGTAAATAAAATAAATAAGCAACAAGATTTTATAATTTACTAACATAAATAATAAAATAACCTAACCTAGCTTGATATAATTATATTAAAAGTGTACCACTCTTTTTTGACGGTGGTCGTGGTTGCTGCGGCAGTCGCGTTCGAATCCGCTGTCTCCCGTTTGGAATCGTGTATCGTGAAATCTAAAGTAGACCACACATCATCCATATCGGTGCAACGATCTAGTATCACTCTGCAACGTGTCAATAAAACAAACACAGTCAAATAAATGTTTATTTATCTCACATTTATCACATCGGTAGACACATCGTACCTGCCACCACGACCAATTCTCCGTCGTGCGAAGCCAATACACCTTGGTACCGGTTTGTTAATGCTAGTCAGCGCAAACCTGTACTTTTTATCAGCAATACCGCCTTCGCTTTTATCACACCAAGGCCAATTTCCAAAACCGCCTGATACAGGCTGCAAAGAGAAGAATGTTAGATTAAAAAAAATCTTGAGAATAAACTGTCAGACTATTTCTATATATTAATGACCTGTCCAGAGTTGCACGAACGCTTACGGCTTATGGAAAGAATTCTAGATTTAAAACGTGTCGCAACAGTACTGATATAGATTGATCCCAATCTGGCAACGATCAATTAATAGCAACGACAGTTTAATCAAAATATATCCAATAAATAAAAATTCTAAAACAGACAGCGTATTAATTAACTAACCGCTCATTTACCATATTTATTTGTCTAAAAAATAAATTTCGATAAAATATTGCGATAAATCATAAATATTTAACTTTCATTACGTCTTCAACTTAACGTTTTACCAATATTCTTCGCATTTATTCAATTAATGTCGTACCAATAACAAACTGAATAAAATGAATATCCTAAGAAAAAAAAAATGTAAAGCGACTTACCGGTAAATAAGAGCTATTCCTATTTCGACGAAAGACGAATTGACCCTCGTCTGCTGCAGTGTCTTCGTCATCGCGGTCGGAAGGTAACGAGGGCTGAGAGTGCGAATGAGATGGAAGCGGGCTATCTTCATCCGAACTGATGAGCGGGTCCAGCCCACTTCCGAGTACTCCTGGGCGATTTCCTCGGCCGCCACTACCCGTTCCGCTGCGAATACCAATGTCGTCCAAACTTCCTCCCCTGCTATCCGTTTTATGTTTCCGCTTTTTGTACTGTCTCTTTTCTTTCCTGGGCACTACTTCGTCCTAAATTAAGAGAGAAACAACGTTACGTACGTAACAAATGGAATGGACGATACCATTCCGTTAAAACATTTTAAGACAAAGACAAATAAAAAGTTTCAAAGAATATCGCGATTAAACGTTCTTCTTAAAATCGCGACACATACTTTACAAACTTTGTTCGTCCAATTTTGATGAACGCCAAACTGGTTGGTAAAGAGTGGAGCAAACGCTGGTCTCGGTGCCTTTAACGCCGACACTTCCGCCAATATTTGTCCACTGAAGTCTTGCGCTTGATACCTGTGTCAAAATTGGGTGTAAAATTCCTATTTAATAAATACATGTAATGCATACATAAATGGTATCGTCATCGACTTTATACAAACCGTTTCTCATAAATCTCGATCGTGAGGTGCAGATGTTCCCGTTTCGTCTTTTCTCGGCGTTTCACCATCTCCAGGAGCGTGACCGCTCTACTAAGATCTCTACGAAGCTTCAACATTTTCTCGTAGCTGGTTTCGTCGTTCTTGCGATTCTTACGTGTTTGCATTTTCTCCGTGCGTCGTCTGAACGCCAGATATGGATTGTTCGCAGCCGAGCCGAATCGATTCTCCGTTTTAACCGTTAATAATAGGGGATGTTGCTGTGTGGAAGATAGATAGTATTATTAATATCGCATTTGAGAACGTGATTCAGATCAACACCCCAACTCCATTGGATTTATTAAGAGAAGAAAGGAGAAAACTCGCAGGATAAACGTTGTGTATGCGTTCTTTAATCCTTAATGAATAATAAAAATGTATCCAAAGCCAAGTAGAGCGACATAACCTCAAAAAACACAATGTAAAAATATGATGCTTACAGTTTTGAGACGCTTGTTGAGCCAATAGTCAAACACCGCGATAATCAAATCGTCGTCCTCTTTCAAAAGTGCCTTGGCTTCGTTGAGAGTAACTACAGTTTGTCCTGAACTCTTCTCCAGACGATCCATCATTTCCTCAAATTGAAGAGGAGTCAATTCCATCTTACGGCTTTGCAGCGCAACCCATTTTTCGTCTTCCGAATCCATATCGTAGTCTGGTATGTCTTGTTCCATAGCAAAGGCTGCAGAGAGAGAGAGAGAGAGAGAGAGAGAGAGAGAGAGAGAGAGGGCAAATCCATTAATTATTTGTTCCGAAAAACAATATGAATAAAAAAGAACATAATAAAAAATGACGTTTTAACGCGTCCACTTACGTTGCATGTGTATTAATTGGCGAGGCAGCTTATAATCAGCGGGATATATCTTGTTATAAGCTTCCGCATCTGCCAGATCGGTTACTTCAGGAGTAGGAATGATTAGACCCGTGCATATCGCTCTTTGAAGATGATGTTCCTGCGTAACAAAGAATCATTTAATTAATATCGTACTACAATCATCACATTATTACACATATGACTCCAGAATACAATGTATTTACAAAAATGTGCTCGATACGTGCTTAATAACGAGTTTAAATCTCTTCAACAATGTAATTTTATTAGATAAAATGCATTCTAAACGATTTAGTTTGACACACATTTCTTCCGAGTGGCATAATTATACATAATGCCAACGTATGTGCTTGTTAAAGTAAAGCGAGTAGTCTGATCGCTATAGCAATCACAATGTTTACCTAATCCCATCTCTAACTTGACGTGACACCGTCTATCGAATTATATGTATATTACGTAAAAAAATGATGATACGTTAATCGATAAATCGATAACGTGTATTTAACAAAGGGTTCGGAGATTATAGGAGGTCTCTCGATTCAGGTGCGAGCGTTTAGCGTGACGCATGCAACGGAATCAACAAATGGAATAAACAGCGCATCCGTTTTGTAGTTTCCCTGTAGAAAGAAATACTGGAGTATCGTCGTTTCCAAGTTGCAGACTCTTGCACGTGGCGGGGGCCGTGTCTAAGCGTGTCTAAGCGTGTCATGACTGTCAGGAAGAGAAACGCTTGACATTTGGACAGGAGGCATATAGGCACAGGAGGCTGGTGGTGACGCAGGGCGGCGCGTGGGCTCGCGCGATTAACGGCGAGCCCCGACGTTGACATCCGTCGCGGGAAATAGTGCCGGACGCGGGAGGGCGCGGGGAGGACGGTCGGGAATCGCGGGCGGGATGGTACGTGCGTTAAAGTTGGAAAATGAAGAATTTTCCAGGGTGCACGACGACGGGCGGGCCGCCATCTGCCGGTTGTTTACGAAATTTTCCGCCGTGGGTAAGATGGCGGACGGGGAAAACATGCTGGAACGAGATGCTGGACGTGTTCCGACTTACGCATTCCTCCTCCTTTTCCATGCCGCTGGGCATTTGGGGCACCGCGCGGTTAATGGCCGAGTAATCTGGCAGATCCGGCAGCTCCTCGGCCATGTAGATCGGCATGGGCTTGGAGGCGTCCAGGGCGCGCGCCCTAAACGACAGCTTGCTCATCCTGAGGGCGGCTGGCTCCGCGCGTGTTGACAACCAAGGATGGCTGGCCGCACCGTAAGAGGCCAGTCGGGTCGGCGCTGCGCTGGGGGGGCCTCGGGCTCGCGGAACGCCGTGGACCTGGCTATTGAGGCCTGGCTGGGGGCCTTGGGGCCGACGTACCCGGCACAGAGAGCGCTCAGGGCCTCATCGTTCCCCGGCCATCGCGCTGGAACACGGTCACTCAGTCACCAAACGAGATATATCACTTTGAAAACATGTTTGCGTGACACGGTCCCTGCTCAAAGCCATCATGGCCGACGCACAGCCATTTAACACGTTCGGGCCGCCGCCGTGCAGTACCGCGGGCCGACGCGGGCAGCGCGGGAATCGCCGCGTCGCCCGTCGCGCCGTTGTGGTTGTGACGCGGCCCGCGCGCACGCCTATTGGCCACTATTGGCCGCCGAGCTTCCCGCCCTATGCCGAGTACACACACCCGCGCCAACTCACGCCAACTGTCGCCAACTCGTGTGAGACGCTCAAAAACACTTTTTCGTCTGTGACGCACGTTGTATCATTTATTCAAGTTCACTCATTGTCACTATGTGTACACTCGCGTCTTCGAGTTTTATCCATGTGCTTTTTTATGTAAATTCACGCACGTGCAGCGTCGAGCAACACTGATCCTGAAACAAAAGTTTACAAATATAAATATTGTAGCGCGCAGAATCTTAATTTGGAAAAAAAAAATTAAATTAAATAACGTGTCTTATCCGCGCCCTTTGTCGCGGTTATGAATTTTATTTTCCTTCTTATTACATTGGGTTTAACTGTGATTGGTACAATAAGGGAAATTTTTTTTTATTATTGTTACAAAGAAAAAAAAGAGAAACGAGATACGTTGTTCCCGCGACCCCTGCGCATGCGTCGCCGACGCGGGCGCTTGAAATTAGGTGGGCCGCGTGCGCCGTCGAGCGGCGCCAAATCCGAAACGGGAAGCACGGCGCGTTGCGAGATCCGTCCATTTCGGTGTTCCGCATTCGAATTAAATCAAAGTACGCTCGTTTTGGGCTTTGAGAAAAGAAATGTGAGAAGCGGCGAGTGCGAAATACCTCGTACTAAAATGAGCAGATCTGTTCATCGACGAAGCGCTCGAAACTGTCGACGCGCGTAGCGTTTCGTCGTCGAACGGCGCCGAACGCGCGACGCGACGACACACCGTCGTCACGTGTTGCCGCGACGGAGATCACGGCCGCCGTGGACGAAAAAAAAAAAAAAAAAAAAAAAAAGGAAGGTGGAAATTAAACGGCGTGAATGTCGCGCGCTTGATTCACGTAGCCGCCCGTGGCGGAAATCGCGACGGTCGAGTACGCGACAAGTGGCGATAAGTTTGGATGTGCGACATGATGAAGGCCGTCGCGGTTCTGTCCGCGAATCCTAGGTTATCTTACCACCTGCGCTCGCGGCTGCCGAATCTGCGCATTTCGGACGTGTCGCCAGGTAACGGTGCTCCGCACGCGCACGTCGCGACGTAACCGCGCCCCAGGACCCAGGACGCGATTCCCGTGCTCGTCAAATCGTTTCGCGTGCCACCGACGATAACCCCCTCGCGACGAGCACGTGTCGAATTCCCAGTGCCACTGGCGCGCTGCCTCCCGATACCGCCGCGAGGGGGCGTGCACACCGGGGCGGGAAAGTTCGTTCGACCCCGCTCGTATAACTCGTATTGCGGCGCGCGCGATCCGAAAATTCGGCGTTCAGAATTGTTAATTAACCGCGAACGTGCGAAAGGATGATTTTCCCAAATGTTTTTCGTACCTCGTTATATTTATAGAGTTCTCGCAACTTTGAAATAAAAAATTGCATTAGCGCCTGAAAAATTTGCAATATATAATGTTCACGAAAAGATTGAATTTAAGAAACGGTCGTATAGCTTGTTAATGAAATATTTGTTGTTGGTAGCATTTTAAAAATTGTTCACTTGTTAGCAAATGTTTTTTTTATTATACAGGACAAGCAGATACCTTATCCAAGCTGAATGCGGTGGAAATATTAGTGGCCGACTGTGATTTATTAATACCTTACGTAAATAAATTGACGTCGGTCAAATGGATACAGGCGACGTGGGCTGGCTTGGACAAATTTATTCCACATGTGTGGGACGCGCGAAGAGATTACATCCTGACTCGTTTCTCCGACGAATCATTCGGTCTGGCCATGTCCGAGTATGTGATAGCGCAGATTGTCAATCATGAACGCGATCAGAGGCAACAGTACGAGAATCAAAGGCTCGCTGTGTGGAAACAAGAAGGCAGATTGCTGAACCACAGGCTTATACGTGATTTAACGATAGGTATCTTGGGGGTAGGAACGATAGGAAAGTCGGGTAAGTTGGAAAATAATAACTTACACGTACATCTTGTATCTGATATCAAGCAGGCGATAACAAGTTCCGGCTCTTCATCTCTTTAATATTTTCACGTAGTGGCGGAAAGGCTGAAGCTATTTGGCGCGACTATCTGGGGAATGACACGTACCGTTCCGAAAGAGAACGTGCCATACCTTGACGAGCATAGAACCGTAGATGACCTGCCAGACATCCTGAAAAATTGTGACTACGTCATTAATATAATGCCCTCGACTCAGGACACGGTAGGACTTTTAAATGGCAACGTCTTGGAACTCTGCAGAGGCAAGAATGCAGTTTTCATTAACGTGGGACGTAGTTCCGTTATTAAAGAAACGGACCTGGTGAACGCTCTCGAGCAGAAGTGGATTTCAGCTGCTATTTTAGATGTGTTTGAAAAAGAGCCGTTGCCAAAAGAGAGCAAGCTGTGGAGCCTTCCACAAGTAACTGTCATTTCTTAATTATCATATAAAAAGAAGCTTTCATTTAGAACTTGATAATAACACTGTGCCTATTTAGGTAACCGTCTCACCGCACAATTCGGCCGTGACAAATTCACAAGATGTTGCAAAGCTATTCGCTACAAATTACGCTAAATACATAAACGGAGAGAGTATGATAAATGTATTTGATTTTAATAAAGGTTACTAGTTTAAGGGTTTTAGTCACAAAGGTTTTGTACGGTGTTGGGCGTAACAAGACGTGTGTACACACAATAAATATTTATTATTAATAAAAATATACATACGGATAAAAATAAACAACATATTTTGGGTATCTTGAGCTGTATATAATTGTTCTTGATACTAGAATACACAAGTTACATGGAACAATCTTACACCTACATAATTTTTAAAATATTGCGAAATAGTATAACGCCTATCGTTTTTTTTTTTATAGTTCTTTAAATTAAATAAATTTAAACTATATGTCAAATATAGTTGATTCTATTATAACATGAGACAAAATTCACACAAAATAAATTATATAATTTACTTATAATCAAGTATTGTAAAACATAAAGGTTTATTTAAATACGAAAGAATGAATAAACTATCTTGATATCTGAAATAATTTGATTATATTAGCAGTTTATCGACTATTAATAAAAAGTATCAAAATCTAAATAAAGATCATGTTTTTTCAACATGTATATAAACACCATTCATCTCTCTTCGCACGACGTTGTACACATGTGGAGGTATTAATGTAAAATATTGTGAAAATTTATAGAAATCTATTCGGTAGGTGTCTCTTCGGTAGGCGTTTCTTCAATAGGCCGAGGAGACGGTATCAAGCCGCGGATGCACAAGTCGTACACTACCTCTTCGATCTTTTTCACATCGTACTTGAGAGCGTCGAACCGTTTTCTCAATATATCATTCTTTAAGTTTAACAGCCGGAAGCCTGCGTTCAGTTCATTAACGAATGTCGCGATTTCCATCGGCCAATAGTAATGACCATTCGTGACGCTATTTACGGCGAAACGGCTCTAAAAAAAAAAAAAAAAAAAACAAACCACACGCCGTTTACGAGACCATCACATGAGAAAATTACAAAGAATACATACCAGTTCGGCAGACAACTGAAGCAGACCCAGCAAGAAATCCTCCAGATCTAGATGGAAGCCATCCTCTCTGTTATTTTTAACTGTAAAGATGACAAAAATTATTCTTCAATTATTATAGTCAATTATAGGATGTAGAGGCAAATGTTATTTAAATGCCTGTAATTAATCAAGTATTAGAGATGTAGTTGTTATTTTTTATACCTCCTAATATTTCTGCAACAGTCTTCTTGTCGACCAAGAGTTTAATTTCAAAGTATATCACTAGAGCAACTAGAAAGCACAGTCTTTGGGTAACGAAACGCCATTGATCGTGATAACGATAATACTGATTGCTTGGTACCACTTGAGCCAGACTCGCGTATTGTGTCCTTATGTCGCCAAATATTTCTCTCGCCTTTGAACAATACTTTGACACAACTGTAATTTATCATCAACAGGTTATTATATGATATATATTAAATAAATAATAAGAAATTTATCACTAATCACTAAAAACATACTTATATTTTCCTCCATTGTGTGATGCACCGTGTGAATATTTTGTAGTGTCATCAGTATGTCCCTGGAATTCTTCTCGATATTCTTCACGATGACACGGATTTGCTTCAACAGAAAGAAAAATGTTGAAAAACTTTCGAGACATAGTTGGCTGCGCTATATAAATCAACTTGTCTCTGAGTGAGAATATTTCCAAGTTAAGGATGGCAATGCTGTGACAACAATGACACCCCACAGAATAAATGTCATTATGTTCAAGCAACAGGAATCGCGGACAAGATCGGTCGGATGTTGAGAACGTGATCGTGACGAGTTGATAAAATTAACAAACTTGATAGATTTCGCGCGTAAACTTCGCGAGAAGGAATTAAAACGAGAATAGCGAAAATGCGGTAAGAGACGATCTGCTACACAACATAACCTAACAAAAGCCCCTTCCTCGAGGAACACGTTGATACGCACCTCGCGCACTTCCTGCTCGTTATTCAGAGAGTCCTGGAACGAATTGAACATCTCCGTTATCGTAGAGGACACGGTGTCTTCCATGACTTGCAAGGAAAAGTCAAAACTCTCGCGCAATATTGGACCGCGTTGTAATGTTGTGTTGTAAACTGTTGTAAACCGCGCACCGATCAATTTCGTCAGTGGCGTCGACGCGACATCTGTAGCGCCGCCGAGTTCACTACGTCGCCAAGTAATTCGCGGGATAGCTCACAGATGGCGTCACCGTGCAGTTTTCGAGCGCGATAGTATGCAGAGTTGCAAATAGATGACGGTGCATTATTCGACGAAAGAACGTGATCGATATGCAGGAAGATACGGAAGCTCTGTGAAAAGGTAATTTTAAAAAACCTTTTATTCTCTCACAATTTATTTTAAACAATCAAATATATTTTCGTGTTTGTTTGCCGTCCCAATTTTTGCTCAAATCTATAATAACGAAAAAAGATTGAATTTATAACATACGAACAACTATGAAAATAATAACCAGCAGAACATTATGCGAGCTTGTATTAATCGCGGGTAGATTGTTCAATTAATTTATTGTGTATTTTATGGTATATTATATAATATTATATTCGAGTACGCGAATGAGATCTATTTTACTACGACATGACATGCATATGATGATGTACATTATTATTTCTTTAGAATAATCCTAGTACGTTATCATTTGATCTCTCATCAAGTTCAGTTGGTGCTTTAATTATAATTCATTATAATTGCGTATATTTCCTATCGCGTACGCTGTTTATATAAATACAGAGTTTTCCGTGCTCATCTAAATTTATATTTGAAGAATATTGCATTTTCGGCTAGTTTTCACGATTTAGCAAATAGCAAATAGCGAATACTGAATAGCCGAACGGCTGGGATCCTCGCTGCTCGCGAAGGGTCAACCGGTCAACACGCCATGGGCGGCGCGATGCGCGATGTGGCAAATGGCAAATTCGAGCCGAGCCGAGCACGGCGAGAGCGAGAGAGGCGCATCGGCGAGCGAGCCGCGTCCGCTCGCGCAAGGTCTCGTGCGCGCTCGAGGTGTATAAATAGAAACCAGTAGGTCCTGCTGTGTGCGCGTGCGAACTCAAGAAAGGCGACGGCGACGGCGGCTTGGAATTCTGCATACAAGATATGAGCCGCCCGCCGCGCAGCCTCACGCACGGCACAGATCGCGGGACGCGGAGGATCGGGAGGACGTCACGGCCACGCATCCCTCCAATGGGGGAGAGAATTCGCGGGCGTGTCATTGATCCCGATACGCCGGCGGTTGAGCAACATCTTCGCGATCCGAGCCGAGAGGAAGGGGAGCTAGGGACTCGTTTTATGGAAAAATCCGCGCGCGCCCACGTTCACGGGCGCGATCGCCGCGTTCGACTTAACTCAGCGCGAGGAGTCAGGAGAATTTCGAAGCCGACGGAAAAAGCGATGTTTGCGCACGTTTTTATTTCTTTGCCAAACCGGAAACGCGAAAACCGGCGTGGATTCCGACGAGGTCTCTCCGCGCCGAGACAAACGCTCCCCAAAAGGGGCAACCTTTCCCGCGCCTCGAACAAAACTCCGAAGCCGAGGTAGAACGTCAAGTCATAAAATAAAGTCAACATGATGGCAAAATGATGTAAAAATTGTCATTTTGCCATCATTTCAACTTTATTGCAGTGACTTGTTATTCTACTTGGAGGATCCCATCGATTTCGATATCATCTCGATCTCGACCCCTCTTCGCTCTCGATCTGGACCCTTCTCGCCGATATTTCGATAAGAAATACGTTACTTCGCGGATCTTCGCGCTTAACGATCGAGGATCGGACCGCGGGGTCCTGTTAAACGCGTTTTCGGGCCTCGCTTCGGTACACAAGTACCATCAGGGGGACCGACGAAGAAACGATGAAGAGAGGCACTCGGCCTTGCGACGGCCTTCGCCGGCTGCGCCGCGCCGCGCGCCGCGGACCTCCTCGCGCTATACCTCGTTCCTGATAACTTGGAGCGCGTCGCGGTTCTTTTCGCGGCATTCGTTCCTTCGAACCGTCTCGCGTTCCGTCAATAGAGAGAGAAAAAAAGAAAGAAACAATATCTCGCCTCCCGTTCTCGGTCGGCGCGGCGCGGAGAACATCTACGCGGCGCCCGTGCCGATACATTCGTGAAAGCTCTTGCGGTATCTTTCCTCGTTATGTAAAGCGGTCAACAGCCCGCATACATATGTACGCAAACGAAACTCGTTGTATACAGGAGGAGCAGGAAGAGCAGGAGGAGGAAGAGGGGAAGACGGCGGGAGGGCAACGACGGGGACCCCGTGCCCCGTTAAGCTTCGCATTCCTCTCCTCTTCGGGAGAGGCGTCAATCTCAATAAAATCCTACCGGCGCGAAATCCTATCGTCGTAAATTCGTGGTACCTCGGGAACGATCTTGCTCCTCGCGTGCAAATGCTATTTTTAGCGGTGCCGATCTTATCTCGGCGAGAAAATAACGCGGGCGCACATACGGCGGGCGGCGGGGGCCCCACCGCTCATCTAAAGAGACCTCTCGTCCCCCTTCTTTCCTCGTGATCCCGAGTCTCGAGTCCCGAGGCGGCCCCGCCGCGGTTAACATATGGGGGGGATACTCCTCGCAGGGACAACACCTCATCGCGTGCCGTACGGCAACGATCGCGATTCTCTCGGAAAGGAGAGAACCCTCGCATGCACGTCGCACGATCGGAGAGTGACATTTCCAGGGCGGGTCCGGTTGACTGGGGGACCGACGCCGACGTTCGCGAGGACATTTCTCTCCGATTTTTGCGCGGCGAATAGCAATGCGTTTCGAGGGGCACACGTTGGTCCGCGTATCGCCCGATTTATCTTTTGATCTCGTCTGGATTTGACAAGTTAAGCAAACATTGGAAACTTAACTAAAGATTGGTACTCGTTACGAGAACAAAAATGTACCAGTTACACGTACGGAATGAAAATTTGAATAACCGGAACCGGCACGATTGAAAACCGCGCCGTGCGATCTAGAGGTAATTACGCGTTATATTTTGCAACCAATTTTCGCCAAGTATATACCGCGTTAACTTTCGAATCGCGGACAAACAGATAAAATACGTATGTACTACGTCAGAGTCGTGGCAGCGACGGCGACGCAATTTCCGCGGAAGCTGCTTATGATTTAATATGTTTGCGCTTTAAACAAGTTTGCACGGATTAGCATTAGCTCGACCTGCTCGGCGCGTGTAAATGATAGAATAACGAATCGTATTTACCCGCATAAATATGGAAACGGATGCTTGGCAGAAGATAATTTGAGAAAAAAGCAGGAAGCGCACACACGTAACGCGCCCTTTGAGAATTCTGTTGAGTAACGCGCGCGGAGATTACATTGTTAACGTTCCGGCCCGCGGTCTCATTATCCGGCTAATAATTTTTATCTGATTTGAAGATAACAAATATAGCCACGACGAGATTTCATTGCTTTTTCTATACAATTATAAAACTCTCTAACGATCGCGTCTACCTCACATTTTTTTATATGAATTTTATATGAGAATTAATTTTAAATATGATTCTCTCCCGATTCCGCGAAAGAAAAATGTTATTAATTGGGAAAATAGACGAACGCTACACGAGCTCTCGAACACTGTTAATAAGTAAATTAGTAGGGTCGCCACTGCTCCTGTTTAAAAAGAAACATGTTATAATTTAACTAAAACAATGTCAATGTAATTAAACCAATAGAGTTAAAATAATTTATTCCGACACACATAGTAGTTAAAAATAACAAAGTTATTTAACTCAAAGTATTGGTTTCATCCTTCAATATTATCCTTTAACAGTGAAAGTTTCACTCATTTCGCGAGGTAATCCGGCAAAATCGCGCCTATACGTGTCTCGACCGCCAACACGATAGACGAAGACGGCGAACGGCGCTTAACGCGAACGAGTATGCGCGTAACACATGCAAAATTGCAAAATGCAGCGGCGTAAATGTCAGGGTCATCGGGCGGTATAACGCGCGGCAAATACCAATTAAATATACCAATGCCGTGGATTTATATTCGTAGAAACGGATATTTTCTCACGTGCCAATCGGACCGGAGGCTACGGAATGCGGCGAACGGGAACGTTAAACACAACCGGATTGTCGTTATTCCGCAACGTTGCGTATCAATTCGCGGAGAACGAATCCTTGGTATTTCGAGCCGATCCACTTCTCTCCAATGTTCTCTTCTCTATTTTTGCTGGTTGCTTCTTGCTGGTTCTCTCGACTCCTCCTCATCTCTTTGAAGACCTTCCCGTCATTCTTTTTCCCCCCCCCCCCCCTCTCTCTCTCTCTCTCTCTCTTTTTTTTCTTTCTCTCTCTGCTTGTTTTTCCGATCGAAAGAAATCGCACGGCTGCAGGGAACGTCTCGAGATTAATCGCGCGTCTTCCGATCGCGAACGCCTCGGCTTGACGTTCTCACGTGGAAAGGATAAAGACTCAGAGGACTTCTCGCGAACCGGCCGGGCGGGACGCGCGGCCGCGGCGCGGCGTCGCGTTGATATCGCGAGAAATTGAAGATGAACGAGCCTCGCGCGCGTCCATTAATTTCCCCCCCGGAAAACGCCGCGTCGCGTAAACACCGATAGATCTTGGTCCCCGGACTCCCCGGTCGATTACGCGGACAACCGAAGGCAACCGGTTGTAGACGCGCGACGAGCACCGCGGCCGTTTGCTCGACGGGGCGTTTCGAATCGTCGACGATTACTCAAAGCGGTTAGGTTTAACTAACGGGGAATCGATTATATTACATTTGAAGAGGTATTCGTAAATTCGCCCGGTTCTCTCTTCTCTCGCGAGCTCGCGTCGCTCTAATCAAGATTTAACCGCCGGATTCGCCTCTAGAAAGAAACGACGTGGACGCCGCGGGCGAAGGAAGGATCGCTCCTCTCTCCTCCGGAGAACGCGTCTGTAATTAAAATCGTAGACAGCCGGAAATTAAGGCATGCCCGTCCTAAGGCTGAACCCACGCCGGAACCCACAGTCGTTACTCTCGCGTATTCTTTCGCGTAAACGCCAGGTACGTTCGCGGAACTTGTTACAATCTCGCATTACTGAATTGCGCATTAAACCAGACGCTTGATTTGTTAGAGACATTATGCTTCCATTATATTTAACATTAGTTTGCAAACTT